GACGTTTTGTTTGTTATTATAGCAGCTATCGGATGGAATCAATACATGGGCTGCACAGGTTGTCATGTCCGACTATCACAAGTAGAATCATAATGAAAAATACGTCGGTAAAAAGTGCCTGTAGAAAACTGCTTAGCAAGTAGTCAGTTTAGCTTCGGTTGCTATGCTAACATCACCCATGTTATACCAGAGAAACTTTCATAACAGCGTTGTGATGCCAAACAGCGTCAATTCAGACTGACACCAAACAGCGTCAATTCAGACTGACACACATTCACTTAAGGGGAACTGGGGATATGTATCAGCTGCTTGTGTGACAGTCAGACAGTGAATACTTTAGAGCCGTGTGAGCTAACCCGGAGCTAACGGGAGAATACACTCCCGTTGAAGAGCAGCCGGCCAGCACTGCAGCGGTCGGTAAATGCCGCTGAAACACATTAATAAACAATGAACCACGGCACTCTGGAGAAAAGTACAAGGTTGGAGAAGTCGTTATTTAATTTAATCTGGCTTCGTATGATTAAAAGCAACGCAGTCCCCGGCCCGTTGTTGTGAGGTGAGCTCCGGCGTTGGGGAGAAACTCAGCGACGTAAACTGTGACGTCATGACGCAGCAGCGGCAGCACCAGTCGGGCTCTGAGCGGTGTGAAAAGAGCCGGCGCTAAACCGAAGAACCGGTTCTGAACCAGAAAAGCTCTAGCACGGAGCTTGAACCGGAGTTGCGTTGGTGTGAAAGGGGCATCTGTGAGACGTTGGTTTAAAAAAAAAACACACAATGGTGCTCTAGGAGGAGATTCAGGTGATAAGGTGGATGGGGCTTACCTTGGTTGGTTATTGGCTAATGGTCGAACAAGCCAAAAAAACATTGTGACATCACAAAGTGGCCAAAATCTGATCAGCTCATTTTCAGACCGGTTCTTATATAGATGGATCAGGACAAAAGAGAGAGAATATTTTTTCCTCAAACTTTCAGAAACTCTTTACACAGAGGGGACACATGTTTATGTATAAAAGACAGGAAAAATTGCATTTTGCATAATAGGTGACCTTTAACCTGTTAAGCCCCATAGCCCCCGGCTACAGGCTTTTTCTTCACGAAACTGTGTCTCAGGGCTTCTTAACATTTAACAACCTATCAATGTGTCATACCCACTTAACGGGAAGAAACTCAGCTAACTGACGATATGAACAATTTTTTCCGAAACGAAACACAAGGGTAATACCAAGCCTCTGAATTAGCACTGAGCAAAAGAATGCTAACGCACTTAGGACAGAACTCACGGTAGACATATTTTATTACTTATCGGATCTGCACAAACAAGATATCAGATTAAAGCTGAAATTCCACATATTCTAGAGGTATAAGTATCATCACTGTGCGACCAAAACTCAGGGCAGCGAAGGCAAACCCAGACAACACACAACGTAGCTTTACGGAGCCAAAACGGCAAATATGTCTTACCTTTGCTGTTTTCTGATCAAAAGTTGTGTTCAATGGCATTAAAACTATACAAACGCTGCTGAAGGTTAATCCAATGTGTCTGTGTCACTTTGAAATGATTACTGATAATCCATCATCAAAAACCCTCAAAAACGGAGATTTCTTATAGAGTGTTTGAGAGCTACAACCCAGCTTCCGGTTTTGGGCATGCATTTAGATTAATTTTAGAAACTTCCCCTCGATTCTATTGGCTCCAACGGTTCTAAAGACGTGTCAATCATCAAAATCGACCGAGGGGGGCCAGAGATATGGCAAATCCACCCAAATGACCCAGAAGTGTTTTTTGTTGTTGCTAAACCTCTCTAAAAATGTCAAATGTCACTTGTTTTGCATCAATCTTGATACAGGGTACTTATTATATGTTATAGTTTGGATTCCTAAAGCTTTTAGTCTACTATCCCATCATTCAAGGGTGGTTTTCACTATAAGTAATGTTTTTATTTTGGACGGACACTATCATTTTATATAATTTTTTTTCTATGTTCAATCTGAATTTACTTTAAAATATAACAATTCTATATTGTATTCACAGGTTTATCATTGCTTTGAGAAAAAAGATTATTAATTTACCCCTTTTAGAAGTGAAGATATTTGTTCTGGGAATGTCATTTTCAAGCCTGAGACCTGAAAAACAGGCTTGGGGCTTAACAGGTTAAAACAGTAGCTAACATCAAGGCTACTCAATTACAATGTATTTTTAACTAAAATAGGGGGACAAGGAACAAAGCACTTTACACAATAATGAGTTATTATCCCATAATTTTTGAGATCTTGTAGATTATTTTCTTGACAGAAATGGAAACTTTTTCTTCTTGACTTCCTCATACAGGTTGGTGTCGCCCTCTGTGCACATCCCCCGGTACTGGGGCATGACCGCAAAATGTCTGTGCAACGCCAATACCTCCAGCGACCCGTTTGTGTACTGAGGCAGCAGTACAGGAAGGTCCTGGTTAGTATCATCAGCTGCTTTCTGAGAAAGAGTCACTACTCGCTGTGATGGAAACTTCTGGAGCAATGGAGACAAGACTCAGAGAGACACGGGGAGAACAGGAACTTTGATGGCAAACACTGATGGTTTATTTGGAGCTTCGGAGAATTCACAAGACATGTGCTGCATACACGAGGTAACACAGCGGTTGCCAAACCAACTCTGAAGATCTCTACCCCAGACCCATTTATTTAGCTGGTTCTGAGAGAATAATCAACATGCTGCATAACAAGATAAAACAGGCAAAGCAGTATACCACCTCTATCAGCTGACGCCAACAGGCAGGAACAGGGAGACAAAACACTCAGAGCACAGCAGCCCAAGGTTTCAGGCCTGTGCTCAGTGAGGGCAGTACAAACTGATAAACTGGGTCAAAGGTGTGGGCTGAGGAAAATATTTCCCCAACACTTGTTGTCTGTCCAACAGACGACAACAGAAGCATTGCCATAATCACATGAGCTTCATGTGCAAACATTTAAATGATTCAACATCTGCATCCCTCCTGCAGGGAGGTCAGTGGTCAGGGTCACTGTGGAGCTCAGTACATGGACGGCAGTCAGTGACTTGCTCAAGGGCACTTTAACCTAAGGGTGGACCACAGTGATGTCCACTGGGAGAACTGTGAAGGACACAAAACAATGTGTCATCACTGAGAGAGCACTCAGCCTCTGATGTGTGCTCAGCAGCCTTCACACATGCTGCTGTTTCCACTGTTTGGCTGCCGAAGCATTGGCAAGAACTATACCACATGAAGCCCACAGCACTATGTTTATTATCAATTTATGGTTGGAGAAACATTTTATTTATTTGGAATTGGTCTTGGTAAAAGGGTCATTGTGATGATTGTTTTGAAGCTTTGAATAAGTGAAATTTGTGCATGGGTAAAAACAAGTTTAAGGATGTGTGAGGATGTTATCACAGCAAAAACACAGATTAAAGAATAAAGTCGACTGCCAAAAGAACACAATGTGTCCGCTATATGCAAGTGAATAACTGAAGATTTTAGTAATATTACACTAAGCCATTTAGGTTTATGTGGTGTTGTAGCAGTGGTTCCCAACCTTTTTTTGGCTTGTGACCCTAACCACAGGAGCTGTGACTAATTTTAAGGTTTCCTGAAAAGTGCTATAGTATAATGGCTGGTCTTTCCACTGGTAAATGAATAACATGTCAATCAATTATTGTTATTGTTATTATTATTATTATTATTATTATTATTATTATTATTATTATTATTATTATCAACAAGTCATTAGATTATATAAGATGTTATAAATAATATAATAGATAGATGAACTCAGACGATTGCTAACAAAACATCAAGTATGATTTCCGTGAAATGGCAAGATTGGTGGGAAGGGGGAGGGACGGGGTGGCGTGGGAAAGGGATTCCCTATATTTTTACTTTTTTTTTCTTTTTCTTTTTGTATTATTGTTTATTTAATTTGTATCTGTATAAGTCCCTCTGTAAGGGCAACAAGAAAACAATTAAAAGTTGGTCACAAAAAAAACAAGTCAATAGATTGTTATCTCAACCCATTTATGCTTTTGTGTATTGTTTTTTAATCCAGAAGACCTGACTTCTACCCCTTGTGAAACCAAGAGTCAACAGCTGTCTAACAATTGATGTACCCATAACTAGAAGTTGTGATGCCTGAAACTAACCAAGTATTTTACAACTACATGTTTTAAACTCCAACCGTTCATCCAAATGTGACTTGTTCGGAATGAGCATGGCGCTAAATGACATAAATGGATGACATTACACACTAAATGTCCTTAATGTGGCATGCTATTTATACACGTTCCCTTGTGATCACATTGTAGTAGACAGTATTTTATATGAAAAAAAATATTGAACCAAATCACGAGGCAAGTTTGGACAACTGATTTTCTTTCTTTTTCTTTTAATCATTTGGTGAAACCCCCTTTGTTGGAAACAACAATTCCAACATCCCATCATATATTCCTTTCATTACAGCAATAAAACAGCAAGGGCAATACGATTTCACAAACAAATGGTGCAGGCCCATTTGTGCATTGAATTTGTGAATTGACTCAGCAGCACCATGATTTTAAACAAACATACATGAATTTAAGTTATCAGCCTCAATCCAACAATAATCCGCGGTACCGATGCGCGCTCGGAGGCTCGCTCGCACTTTGGGTGTGAGCTGCAGGCGCCTGCCTGATAAGTCAACATCCCCCACTTTCATCACTTACAGCGCCCATCGTACAGGGCAAATGAAAAGTGTAACCGGGGTGAAAAGGGTGTTACCTTGACTTAATCATGAATGTTGTTACATCAAGGCTAAAATGAGGATGAGCCAAACAGTAAAAAACGCGCCCCCCCCCCCCCCCAGATCTAGTGGCGCCCTAGGCGACCGCCTATATGTCGCCTATGCCAAAAACCGGCCCTGCACACATACACACACGCACACACAGCTCTGCAGTGTAATATGATCGGTGCTTGCTCGTTACGCACACTTTTCTCGGGTCAGGGATGCTTCTCGCAGACAAAGGAAGGAGGTTTTCGCGCTGCGTGTGATTATCATCCAGCCAAAGGAACGGAAAAGTTGCTGCTTCAAACACACACACACACACACACACACTGCCACATCACACACCGCCGAAACTGCACTTCAACATGCGTTTAGGACTTTCGGTGCTGCTTCTTTCTTTGACGAGGAGTTGTTGGTGCGTCCCGCAGCAGCAGACATGTCATCCAGGAGACGAGTTTTTAGGTAAGGTCCCTTCAACTTCAAACAAAATCCATAGATTACTTTACGACGTCAAATCCGAATGGAGACTGAACTTAAAAGACCATTTGAATGAGCAATAAGGACTATTTCACAATATATCCGTCGCTTTTATAAAGAAAAACAATTGATAAACAACACATCATTAACATGTTATCATGGCATACCCTCTCGCTGCACTAAATTATTATTTCAGTTATTACCTTTCAATTTATCGCTGTTAATGCATGTACTGCCAAAAAAGGTGGAAAGACTGTAAAGTTTCGTTATCATTCATATGGGACCTTGACTTGACGTTAGACACATTGTCAGCTGCAGTTTTTTTTAACCATGTTCATAAACAGTAGTTAAAAAAAAGCATAGGGCCTCCTTTGGCTCGGCCCTTGTTTTTGGAGATGTCGCCTCCTAGCGTTTTATTTATGGCACAAATATGTCCATGCTTCCTCATTGTTTGGCTTTGGTTTTCTCACAGGAAGATGCAGCAACAGCGTGGCTGGAGACAAACGTAAGTGGCACATTCATTTGTCCAAGTTGTGAAATATAGTGTCTTACATTACATGACATTAAATACTATGTTGGATTTTGTAGGTCAGATTTGATATCTCAGCTACAGAAAGTAATCCGCGTAAATGACATTTCAGGGCCTCTCCACTTATATAAGACGTGGCCTAAGATCTGTTTCCAGGTCTTTATATCAACTTCAGAGCTGGAAACCATATAGTCTGAAATACTGAGTGTCACTGCAAGATGCAACAGGCCTCCTCTCCAGGTAGAGGGTAATTCAGAGTGAAGGCAGCTGCAGCACATAAGGATTTATGAGCTTTAAAAAAAAAACTAAACTGTACTTTACCTTTTTGAAGCACCAGGTGCTGCACATAGGCACTACAGTACACCAGGTGCTATGCATATAATCAACAGGTGGATCCATAGGCTGATTATATGCTTGACACCTCCCCGCCTATAGAAGCTACACACAGACTTCATAGTTGTTCTTTATGTCGTTGCTTTGTGTCTCTTTGTTGTCATTTTGTGTTTCTTTGGAGTCATTTTATTTCTATTTCTAGTCATGACTCATGTTGAGTCTTTTTAGTTGTTTTGTGTCCTTTTGTGTCGTTTTTTGTGTTTTTAGTGTCATTTGGATTTATTTTGAGTATCCCTTATAGTTGCTTTGTGTATATTGTAGCCATTTTGTGAGACTTCAGAGTCATTTTGAGTCTTCTAGTTATTTTTGCCCCTTTTAATAAGCATTGTCAGTCTCTTTGTAGTTTATTGACCTATATTTATTTAAGGTTGTTCATGGTAATTTAACTTTACTAATTGATACATGGCTCTCCCTGACATTTGAAGCCCATAGTGACCCATTAAATATTCTATTCCTGGATACAGAACTTTAGCCCTATTTGAAACTTACAACAACAAAAGAAAAGCTTTGTTAAACTTATTTAACTATACTTAAGCTAACATATTAGCACACACATTACTTTAATTTTAAGTTAACAACTTTCTCTGTTATCTTGTTCCACAGCTACCTGCACAGAGCTGAGCCTGGGCTACTGCAATGATATGGAATACTCGAGGTGGGTGGTATAGGTTGGTAATAATGGTTGTTAGCTGAAAACATATACATTTCCTGTCTAATGTTATTCTGTTGGCAAAAAAGCTAAAAGCTAACTGTTATCATCGTGCTCCAGCACCATATTTCCCAACATCCTTGGCCACCAGAGTCGTTTGGATGCAGAGTCAGGGGCGGAGTACCTCCTCCTCAGCGTTATCCATGGCCTTCTCAACGGGGAGTGTTCTCCTGAGATTCGTCTCCTTGGCTGCTCGGTTCTCGCCTCCCCCTGCAAGGACGGCAAGATGATCAAACCTTGCCGCAGCACATGTGACGCCCTGAGGAAAGACTGTGCTCATGCATTCGAGTCCATCGACATGGCCTGGCCCTACTTCCTAGACTGTGACCGCTTCTTTGCAAGCGACCAAGAGGGCTGCGTTGACCCATTGGCAGGGCTGAAAGGTAAAGGACACGCTGTTGTGTTGTACTGTTTGGGACCAAAACATAATTATACTCTTCTATGAAACAAACAAAGCATCTTTCTCTCCCTCCCTAAATCCTGGCATCCCTCCTCCAGCCAGACAGGAGCTAGAAATGTCAAGATACTCTCATGATGAACCCAGCACTATTATCCAGTTCATCTACACCTCCAACACCCAGATGTATAGCTTACTGAAGAGAACCGCAGCCAAGTGCTCCCAAATCTCTCATGTGTACAGCATCGGACGCAGCACGGAGGGCCGGGATCTGCTGGTTATTGAGTTCAGCAAGAACCCAGGACAGCACGAGCTATGTGAGTAAGAAGAGTAGTGTCATTAACTGTGTGATGAGATGTGTGTAATGCACACAGCTTGGTGATTATATCTCCAATCAAATCTTCCTGTGGTGTAATGAATTAGTGCTCTTAACTTTACGATTTCATATTACCGCTCTCACCAAAATGGCAGCTGTTTTTAAGCAAATAAATCTTTAAAAATACTGCACACTATCTTCCCAACACCAGAGCAGACAAAGTTAGCGACTAACTGGTGAATATAGTGGAACTGCTCATTTCGGATGTTCATTTCTTTCTAGTAAATAAATACATTACATGCCTGTTTTCCAATAGCCTCAATTAGCATTCATTTTAAAATCATAGTTAATGTGAATTTCGGACTCACCCTGCTAACCAAGCTTGCTAGCTATCTCAGGAGTTGGCTTCTGGTACCTGAGGCGTGTACTACGAAGCCGGATTTTCGCTTAGCGAGCTAACTTCAGGGAAAACTCTGGCTTTCCGGTCCTACGACGCTGGTTCTCTTCTTGTTTGTTTGTTTGTAGCCTTTATTTAACCAGGTTAAAAAATCCCATTGAGATCAACGATCTCTTTTTCAAGGGAGACCTGCAGTACATTAGTTACACATAAAAACAACAGAAAACAAAAGGACATCACAACATAATTACAGGGGTATACATTAGCAACCTATTTACAGTGACAGGTATCCAATAACATTTCATCCAGCCGTGCTTTAAAACGATGCAAGGGAATCAAAATGCTCAGTTTCAATGTTTTTTGCATAGTGTTCCAAGCTAGAGGAGCAGCGCACATAAAAGCTTTAGTACCTAAAACAGTCCTAGCACTTTGCACATGTAATAAGAACACATCCTGGCTCAGGCAATAGCTACTTGCCACTCTCCGTGAGATCAAAGAGCATATATAAGTCGGTAGATTACCCAGCATGGCTTTATATATGAATATGTACCAATGACTGAGCCTCCGACCAGTAAGTGAAGGCAGACCTGCCTTGGCATACAGGGTACAGTGATGAGTAAGTACTTTACAGTTAGTAACAAATCTCAGAGCACTGTGATAGGCGGCATCTAACCTTTCCAGGCAATGGGCAGGTGCATTCATATAGATCAAATCACCATAGTCTAGCACAGGTAAAAAGGTCACAGTGACTAGCCTTTTTCTGGCTTCAAAAGAGAAACAGGACTTGTTTCTGAAAAAGAAACCTAGTCTAACCCTCAGCTTTTTAAGCAGATTAGTGACCTGAAGTTTAAAAGTAAGACAATCATCAAGCCAGATACCAAGGTATTTATAACAGCTAACCACTTGGAGTACTTGTCCTTGCATAGTCACAATATCCAAAGCAGTCTCTGGAGTCTTTTTAGCTTTAGAAAAGAGCATTACCTTGGTTTTCTGATGTCGAGTTTCAAAATAAAAGACCTTTGAAGTCTCATATATGAGCTATCATCCCTCTGTTTTTAGATAAGAATAAAACAAAAACTCTCCAGTATCAAAGACTAATATCACTCCAGGGTGATAGCAGCACACCCCATCTAGTCACTCAGAGAGAATCAGGACAATCTGATGTAGAGTTTTAAAATAAAAGACCTTTGAATTCTCATATATGAGCTATCGTCCTGCTGTTTTTAGATAAGAATAAAACAAAAACCCTCCAGTATCAATCTAAAAACAGATGGACGATAGCCCATATATGAGATTTCAAAAGTATTTTATTTTCAAACTCCTTCAAGGGGACCTATCATGCAAAATGCACTTTTGTACGTCTTTTATACATGAATATGTGTCCCCGGTGTTCCAGGGAACTCACCAAGTGTCAGAAAACACAACCCTCTCTATTTTCCTCCATACCCAAACCTCTAAAAAAGGGGCTGCAACGGATCTGATAAAAACTGATCCAGATTTGAACACGTTACTGACGTCAGGACGGTGGCGCTACGGCTATTGGGCCAACTCTCCACCTATCAGGGGAATGTGGGATTGGGCCACGGCCGGCCATTGCCGCTCGAAAGCGCTGGAGACGCTGTAGTACATATGCCAGGCCTGTAAGTGGTACTGTAGTCTGCCACAAAAGCAGCGAAGAAGACTTCCCGCGCATGGTTGCCATGGTTTCCCTTCTGTTTATTCTCCGCTGTGGCTTTTTTTCTCCCTCCCCGAGGCAAGCGTTTGCTCCTGCTGCTGTAATTCAATGCAATCCCTCCCCGTCGAGGCAAGCACTGTAATTCTCTCCGGTTAGTCCACCAGCAGATGACAAACACCCACCTCTCCGCCTCTTCCAAGGAACGAGGGGACCGTGCGGCAGAGTTTCAGTTAGGTTTTCTTTCGCCGGTCAAGATGTCCGTTAAAGTTGAAATCTTCCGGACAAAATTAGAAAAGTGCCGGTCAAAGGTCTTCTTTGTTATTTATTGAGCTTTAAAACAAATGAATAACGACTCTATATAATAATATAATAAAACACGGAGGACAGAGATCTATTTTTCTCCCCCTCTTCTGACTTGATCAGAGCACGCTCCCCTCTCCTGCAGGGGGGCGTGGTCAGCTGCAGCTCACAGAATCAGCCCCCTGCAAAAACAGGGCTGGAGAACAGCAAATAGAGCGAAATGAGGCATGGCTAAAATGCATGATCTGTTTGGTATTTTGAAAACAGAAACGTATAAATATACCTTATATAGGTATGGCCCTACAATATATCATTTAAATATAGCATGATAGGTGTCCTTTAAGTTTTACATTCACTCAGTTATAATGTGGTAGTTATACGTAGTTTGTTTTAAATAATTATTGATCACATTATATAGTACATATTTCTTGATTTAAGCTCCAGTATATATGAATATGTTTGGTATGTTTTTTAGATGTATTATTATTGACAGAGTAAGCGCTTTTATTTTGAAGGCAGTTTTTCCAGGCCTCTACTGTAATGCATAGGATATTCGCGCACCACAATACAACGTGCGGGCTGGCTTGACTGTGTTTTCTGAAGTAGAGGCTGGCTTGACCGCAGTTCCCATCTTCAGAGCAATCTGACTAATATAACATTAGCGTTAAGAAAGCTTACTTAAATATCTGCCTCAACATAAGTAACCGGATCAGTAACATTACGTACAGTCCGCTGCACTGTGAGTGCAGACTTTGATGTGTCCCATTATCATTCATTTCCCATCATATCACATCATAATGTATCATATATTTCCTTATCTGAGTCAGCTTCTTGAGCCGTATCTGGCCGTGCAACACTCACAGTGTCACATACTGTATGCAGAAGTATTATTTTAAGCAACACATTTAAGGTGGGGTAGGTAAGTTTGAGAAACCGGCTCAAGATACACTTTTTGTTATATTCCATGGAATGCTCTTAACATCCCGATAGCAATGAATATCTTAAATGCTTTGACAAAAAATCCAATTTCATCTGTGGAAGCCGTAGTACTGTAAAAAGCACGACCAATCATTTTAGCCGGCCCGGCTAAAATAACTGGATGGCCTACCTGCCTGTCAGCTTTCCATCTGTGCACAAACTTATCTTGTGCCCTCATTGGTCATGTGAGCGTTCGTGTGTGTTGGAGGAGGGGCTCTGTAAGGAAGTGGCACATTTTTTCCGGCTGTGTATTTTCAAATTCTAGCGCACTCGAGCTGGTTTCTCCAAAATTACCTACCCCACCTTTAAGTTGACGAAACACTCGAGTCAAATGTAATTAAAGTCCGATCCACTCGTGTGTGTCTTAGACGGGGCAGTGATATCATAAACCTGTTATTGTACGCATTCAAACACTTTTTTACCAGCTGTTCTGTGTTCACCTTGCAGGTACAACTATGTTGCTTTTATCCTGGATAAAGTGTTTAAGTCATGGATGTTTAAAGTTTAACTTCTTCATATTTGTCTAATATCATAGTTTTCTTTTCATTCAGGAAGTATGACGCTGCGCTGTCAGTACGCTTGTCCATGTTTGTGATTGGTCAAATGTTGCTAAACCCGCCCCTTTCATGTGAACGCGCACTCAGCCGGACAGAGAAACCCTGGCTTGAGTTACCGAGTTGATAACCAGCGTCGTAGGACCGATTAGCGAGATCGCGTTTGTTTTAGGTTAGTTAAAGGTCCCATGTCATGGCCATTTCTACTGATCATATTTCCATTGTTGAGGTATACTAGAATAGATTTAAATTGTGCAATTTTCCAAAATCACATTGGTTTCTCATACAGCATCTCTGTATAGTATGTGTATTCACCAGGTATTCACTCTCTGTCCTAAACGGCTTGTTGGAGCTCCTGCCCCCCCCTCCCTGTGAGCCCAGTGTGCTCTGATTGGTCGGGACGTTGCGAGGCTCGTTGCTGCTCGCCGCTACTGCGAGCTGCTGCGAGCTGCTGCGAGCTGCTGCGAGCTGCTGCGAGGAGCGGACAGGTTTCAGGGTCGGCGATACAGCGAGAACAAGCGAAACGCATCCTGAGCACACACAAACACTCACAGCCGAAGTAAAAACAATAAGTGTGGCATGATATTGAGTAAGAAAAAGGTTTATAACGCTGTGAGAATGGGTCTGCGTAGAGCATTTCTCCGCGATCCCAACTCATCTATTACCAGCGTTCAGGGAGCTCTATGCAAGTCAATGGGGACTCCCTGTTAGTTAGCCAAGGGATCCTGGTGTGTGAGGTGCTCCGCGGATTGGTCCATTTGGGCCAATCCGGTCATTTGTTGTTGATTTGGGTGTTCACACGTCACTGTACCCAGGAAGCAAACAATGGGAAATGAGAAATCTCCAACGAGGCGTTTTGGGGCAGCATTGACAGGTCTTTTCTGTGTTAGAGTTTTACTCGCTACAGGGTGTACTTTGAGGGTTTTTGACTCTGCAGACCGTTTACATGCAGAAAAACCTTCATAACACACAAGGGGACGGGTAATAACCGCAAAAGCATGACATGGGCCCTTTAAGCCAGATAACTCAAACGTATGTTGAACTGGATTCGTAGTACAGGCCTCTGGTCTTGCTCTTCCCCAGCTTCAACCTCATCTCAGGATGAGTGGGGTACAATTATATTACATTTGAGATTTCATGACACCAAGAAATTAATTAGCAACAAAACCTGAGATAGTACCAATTAATACTTCATCCCCACTCATTTAAAAAAAACAAAAACACTGACCAAACCTATCTCCTCCACAATTCTTTACTTTTCCAGTTTTGCAATATCAGTTTCTCATAGATTAATGATGCATACATTATTTGCCATCCAGTTGGGTATCTTATTTTCTGGGCAGCTCCAACCACTTGTGTCACCCCTGTTTCCAAAATACCACGATGGTGGCGAACAAACTGCCAGGCTCTAGCATTTTAAGGGGCAGAACACAAACCAAGAGGGGACTAGGTCCACTTTTGTTATACAGGCTACGATATATAGCTTGTTCTGAGGCCCCAAAGTGGCTCACGTCAATGATTGCAGCTTTCACCCTGTTTCCTTTTGCCTGTAATCCGTAGTGGAGCCAGAGATCAAGCTGGTGGCCAACATGCATGGCAACGAGGTTCTGGGCCGCCAGCTGCTCGTCTACATGGCCCAGTACCTGTGCTCAGAATACCTCCTGGGGAACCAGCGGATTCAGACCATCATCAACACGACCCGCATCCATATTCTGGCCTCCATGAACCCAGATGGCTATGAGCTAGCCGCCTCAGAGGTAGAGGATAACAATGACCCGGAGCTCAGCAACCAGGAAGTAAATATTGTTAACAGAAAAAAAGACAAACCACCATTATCCGCTCTCAATCTCAATGTGTGTTCTGTCTGTTCGGCTTGACTTGTAGAAGTGGAGGAATGAGTTTTTATGAGTTTTTATGAGCAGATGGTTTTTAGAACGTTGATCAAGGGTTGTCAAATGGGACACCATTGAGCAACTTGTGAACACTTTTTAGTTGCACATTTTGCTATTTTTTAATATCTAGAAAAAGACAATAACATAATGTGCTTACACTTTGGTTTGCTGATGGACAAAAGGACATCCTAATTGTTAACAAGCAGTAATAAATCAGTGACTTATGGGAAGTTGCAGGTAGATGTATCTACTGTAAGGTCTTAAGTCTGGTTAAGTTGCCAAATTGGTTGTGAAAGATTAATAAGAGTACTCAACCCTTCAAGCTTCTACGTTCAACCTATTCTTTTTTACTAACCAGAGAATCCAACACTAATCATCACTTCCGTTCTTTGTTTAGCATTGTAGGCGGCCCTCAGTATTGCAAGCCTGAGGAAGTGGGACATCTACATTGTAATCTCTTTAGCCTTTCAATGCTAATGATGATAATACTTTGTCCTTTTGGTCAAAATATTGTGCATGTATGAACTAATGTCTCCCTGTGCCCTCAAAACGCTCTGCATGCATGTGTGCTTTATACTGATCATGTGTATGATCAGATGTTTGTTGCAGTCATTTGACAAGGTGGGGTTAAAAGTTGTGAGATCCACTATTTAATTCTTAGTTGTCTTTGTAGGCAATGTTTAATCCAAAACACCTTCTATTGCCTGATACCTTTGTTGTAGGCATATTAATTGTATATGTATACGTGTGTGTATATATATATATATCTTTACTGCAATTTATATGCATGGGTTTTAGTGTGACAGGCTGTCTGATTGCACCACACTAAGCAATTCAACATACGTCAATGATGATCAGATTTACAATGTATTGTGTAGGCCAAACTACTGTATCATCAATTAAACGTATCACTGTAAATCAAAACCCCATATTCATATTGTGTTTGGCAACAAATGCATATGCTCCTACTATATAATGACATCCAAAAATGTTTTATTGTTTGGATTTATCATTGATTTAATGCATTATCTGCTCATCTATATTATTTATGATACTGCTTTCCTGTTGTCACTCCATTTCCTTCTATGCATAATGACGGATATATGGTCTTGTCTTCATGTTAACGGAATTAACAGAAATAGTCTAATAGGTTTTTGCCTGTACTCCTGACTAATATTCATATATTTTACTCATATAATCATTGCTCCGACTAACACCTTCACATTATCATCATGATTAATGTCTCTGGCACTTAGTAACACTCCTAGTTGTTTAAACCTTAATGTTTCAGGGTCACTTATTGAATGGTTGGACCAATGGACGGACCAACGCCCAGAATTTAGACCTTAACCGCAATTTTCCTGACCTCACCTCCATTTTCTACCGGAACCGCCGCAGCAGGCACTACCGCATTGACCACATCCCAATCCCTGATGCCTACTGGTTTGGCAAGGTAAGTAGGCCTCGAGATAGTAAACTTTTTATTTTAAATTAATCAGATTCCGTTTTTCAGCCTTTCCTCTCTTTGGCCTGTAGGTGGCACCAGAGACCTATGCAGTGATGAAGTGGATCAGGTCGCTGCCCTTCGTTCAGTCTGCCAGCCTACATGGAGGGGATATGGTGGTCTCATATCCCTTCGACTTCTCCAGACACCCTCAAGAGGAGAGGATGTTCTCACCCACCCCAGATGAACAGGTAGGATAAGTTGATTGAATATCTATGCTATAAAACCTTTTTTTATTTTTTTATTTCATGCACTGGTCAATATTGAGGATTGTGTTGCTTCCATGTCATCTTTCAGACAAAAACATATCCAAGCTCCCCTTTAGGGGTTTGTGTTACTAACTTTTGTCTAACCTATTTCTCGTAAATTCACCAAAGCTTAGCATTATTTATTGCTCATTTGCATATTAAACATAACATTTCAGCAAACAAGACAAAACAGAATTGTCCTAATGTGAGTTATCAACTATGGAAGTGTTATTGTGATATATGTATATATACTGTGTTTATATATATATATATATTCACCTGTAGTGTATATTTCAATTATAAAATACACATCTTTAAAGGCCAATTTCTCAAAAATATTTGTATTCTCATAATGCATACTAGAATTCTTAAACTTCATAAACTTTGTTAACGTTTTTACAGATAGTTATTTTCATAAATCATTCATATTGTAATTGTATTCTTAAAAACACAGCAACAATTATTATTATTATTTATTTCGATGTTACAACGAAGATATCCAAAATTCCCTCTGTAAAAACATTTGAATCTAATATGTTCACAAATTGAACAATTTTGAACATGGCTTTAAAACAATCTCCAGATCTCTACTCTGGAAATTAATGCAAAATGAACACACACATCCATAAGATATTTTTGCATAATATGTAACATTTAAATTCTAGAAGTAAAGTATCAACTGACAAAGTTTGATGGTGTAATTGATTGATTACCATATTAATCTGCCATGTCTATCATAAATAATGCCCCCATGTTCAGGTCCTGAAGCAGCTGGCTCGTACCTACGCAGACGCCCACGAAACCATGTCGAACAACGACACAGAGAGGTGCGGAGCCAACTTTTACCGCACTAGAGGCATCATCAATGGGGCACTGTGGTACAGTTTTGCTGGTGGTGAGATATATAACATTTTTCAAACTACTTTCTATCCGTCTCATTGCTGGTGAGGAACTCATCATGTACACGTCTCCCTTGCAGGTATGTCAGACTTTAACTACTTGCACACTAATTGTCTGGAGATCACCGTGGAGCTCGGCTGTGACAAATTCCCCTCAGAGGCCGAGCTTTACCCAGAATGGAAGAGGAATAAGGAAGCTCTGCTCAGTTTTATGGAGTCTGTGAGTGTCCCTAATACAGGCGATGACCAGTTGTTTTAAAATGTGCATATTTTTACAGTGCATAAAGTTGAAGGATGAGTTATTGACAATGAGAGTGTTAATAACTTAAATATTGCAGTAGAACACTTTTACTTTTTAAAGACCAGAAAGGACACAAAGGACTAGAAGAATATTAATAATACGTATGTGCCATTGACGTAAGTAAAAGATTGAGGCTGAAAAATAAGAATATTCCTTGTGTGCCCTGTTCCTGATCAGGTCCATCGAGGAATAAAGGGAGTTGTTACAGATCTTGATGGAAATGGAATAAAAGGAGCCACTATCTCTGTCAGGGGGATTAAGAAAGATGTTACCACAGGTAAACAATGTCCTGCATGGCTACACATTTTTAAGGTGGTATTACTTTGATGTTTATTTCGCATTGCTTTGATATTAAACAGTTTAAGCCACGCTGACTGTTGGATACATCGCCATGAAACTTTGTACAGATATTCATGTTCCCCAGATGATGAAGCATTATGACTTTGATGACGCCTTCACTTTCTCAACTCAATTTCCTTTTTTTACCTAAAAAATGACATTTCCATCAGTCTTAGCTGTACCCTGTGATACGTTCTAATTAGCACATGTTAGCATGCTAACAAGCTTAACTAAGATGGTCAAGATTGTAAATATTACATATGCAAAACATTAGCATGCTAACATGCGTATCTAAAATGAAATCAAACCATAACTTACTTGATATTAAAGGGTTAACAAATCCACCAGCATGGCTGTAGGATTGTTTGTATGTATACTGACTGGATGGCCCTGCTCTCTTCCCCTTCCTCCAGCTGAAGAAGGAGACTACTGGCGTCTGCTGAACCCCGGTACTCACATCCTGACAGCCACAGCCAAGGGTTACTCCAGGGTCAGCAAGAGGGTGTATCTGCCTCACAACCTGAACAAGGCTGGACGTGTCGACTTTCTGTTGAAGAAGGTTGGACTTTGTCTTCATTTTCTTTGCACCTTTTTTAGCTACTAGCTCATTGCCATCTGCAGACGGGAAGACATAAACACTTATACAACTATTACACTTTTAAAAACACATTCAATGCTTAATGGATATCTTCTATTAGCCTTGCTCTATACTTACATTTCCGCTTTCCTGAATCCAGGTTCCCATAGAGCCCGATATCGACGACCACCTCTTCCCCACAGTAGACACATGGGAGCGATTCGACCCCTACAACCAGTTTGAGCGCTTCGGAGAGCCAGACGCGAGGGAGGGAGGGATAGAGCGGCAGGAAAAACCATGGTGGTGGAACTACTTCTCCCAGTCTGGCATCTCACCTCCAAATTGGCTGCTGCGAAGTGTCTAGACGCACAGGACATTAAAAATCCCGGGATACCACTGAGATTGGTGATGGACGGTCCTGCATCTAGTCCCACTGGTGCTTTCAGATGGAGCAGGAGCTTAGAAAACTACAATTAGCAGAGCCCAAATAGGTTTAGGTGCTTCATGAAAGGATGTGAACAAGCATTTCTCTGCCAGGCAACACTTTGATAATGGCTTGTAAGAGGAGTTTTAGCACATTTTGCTTTGTAGCTGCATTTAACTTGTTTTAAGTGAAAATATAACCACTGGAAAAAAAAGGTTGTATGGCTGCCTCAATTGAAATATGTTCACCGGCATATATAATTGTATGCACTTATTTGAATATTGTGATTACACTTTGCAATTTCACGGCAGCTGCTGCATAAAATGTATAAATGCACATTTACAAATGTTTTAATCTGTACAAATATCAGGCAGATTGGACAGTTTTTTATTATAACATTCCACAGGTTATTTCCCTGTATGTTTTTCTAGCCACATTTTATACACGGCAAGAGTGTTGAAATGTTTGCTTTGTTTGTTTTTCACAAGCTTAAAAAATAAATATGAAATATTTGTGGCATATCTTCTTCCTTGTTTCATGTTAAACAAAAACAACACTCCCCCCTTGCATTAAACGCATCGATTAGTCCTTGACTTCCACGATATAGTGCCATCACCGTAACACTCACGCAGAGGTGGGAGAATACTCAAAGCTTGTACTTGAGTAAAAGTAGAAGTACCAGAGTGTAGGAATACTATGTTACAAGTAAAAGTCGTACATCAAAATGTTATTCAAGTAAAAGTACTAAATTATTGGCATCAAAATATACTTAAAGTACCAAAAGTAAAAATACTCATGCAGATTGGTCCGTTTCAGAATAATTTATTTTGATTATAATTATTGATCATTAAAGTGTTATCAAAGCTGGTAAAGGTGCAGCTAGTTTTAATGACTTTGTAGCCTATACTGCAGGATAGTTTGTGAATTTACTCCAGGACTAACTAAAGTCTGATTTAAAGGTGAGGTAGGTAAGTTTGAGAAACCGGCTCGAGATACACTTTTTGTTATATTCCATGGAATGCTCTTAACATCCCGATAGCAATGAATATCTTAAGTGCTTTGACAAAAAATCCATAAAAAAATGTCATCTGTGGAAGCCGTAGTACTGTAAAAAGCACAACCAATCATTTGAGCCGGCCCGGCTAAAATAACTGGATGGACTACCTGCCTGTCAGCCTTCCATCTGTGCACAAACTTATCTTGTGCCCTCATTGGTCATGTGTGCGTTCGTGTGTGTTGGAGGAGGGGCTCTGTAAGGAAGTGGCAGATTTTTTCCGGCTGTGTATTTTCAAATTCTAGCGCACTCAAGCTGGTTTCTCCAAAATTACCTACCCCACCTTTAAGGGGTGATTATATTTTACATCATTAATTTAAATCTGCAATATAACTCGAGGTACAAAATAAATGTAGTGGAAAAAGTAGATTTACTCATGTGAAGTACAAGTTCCTCTAAATTGTACTGAAGTACAGTATTGAGTTAATGTACTTTACACCACTGCACTCACGCTTCTATTGGCCAGCACTCCAACACATTGTACGTGATAGGCTAAGGCGTGGGACGTCCATAAGTGGTTGACCAATCATAACAGAGTCGGCCAGCTAACCAATCAGAGTAGACTGGGCTCTGGTTTCAGACAGAGGGTGAAAATAAAGACCTTTTTGAACATTGAAGCATGTTAACAAGTCACAGTGGAGGCACAGTTTTTTTTATCATAACATTCCACAGGTTATTTCCTTGTATATAGCCACATTTTATACACTGTTTGAGTACAACACAGAGTTTAAATGAACACTGTATTTTGAACACTGTATTTTGGATTTGCTACTGTTACTGTGTCAATTGAGGACTTAAGACATTTTTGATTTGTTTCATTTTTTTTCCTTGTTTCATATAAAAACCAACATTAAAGGTAGGGTAGGTAAGAATGGAGAAACCAGCTCGAGTGTGCTAGAATTTGAAACTACGCAGCCGAAAAAGATCTGCCCCTTCCTTCAGACTTCCTTACAGAGCCCCTCCTCCAACACACACGAACGCACACATGACCAATGAGGGCACGAGATAAGTTTGTGCACGAGATGGAAGGCTACGGTGGCCATGAAGTGCAAGACACCACAGCATTTCCGAAAACACTACAGGATTTAAAAAAACAACAGCATTTCAGAAAACACCACAGCATTTCAGGAAACACTACAGGATTTAAAAAAACACTACAGCATTTCACAAAACACAACAGCATTTCACAAAACGCTACAGCATTTCACAAAACACAATAGCATTTCACAAAACACCACAGGATTTCACAAAACACAATAGCATTTCACAAAATGCTGCAGCATTTCAGAAAACACTAAAGCATTTCACAAAACGCTGCAGCATTTCAGAAAACGCCACAGCATTTCAGAAAATGCTACAGCATTTCACAAAACACCACAGCATTTCAGAAAACACCACGGCATTTCACAAAACGCTACAGCATTTCACAAAACGCCACAGCATTTCACAAAACACTAAAGCATTTCACAAAACACTAAAGCATTTCACAAAACACTACAGCATTTCAGAAAACACAACAGCATTTCACATTGGACGGAAAAGGTATTCCTTTAGGGAGAACACTTCTTGTTTGTGATTTGACAGAGCCAGTCAGAGAAGCACTGCTGTGATTGGTTGTTTTTGCTGCCAGTCAAGAAATGACGCTTCGTGATTGGTCAGCACCCGACAGCGCAACATGTCCCAACACATCAGCCGTTAGCTATTTGCACACACTCAGAGCTCACAGCCCCTCATATCTGTTCAGAAACTGGACAAAAGTTAAACATGTACAAACCACAGACTGTCTATGTCATGGTGAATACAGTCGCTGCTTTATTTATGTCTGTATGACGTTGTTGTGAGTGTGGACGGAGCAGCTACAGGTTAGTTTAGTCGATCCGATCTCCATTCAGAAAACACACATTTTAAAAAGTTTTTCGCTTGCCGTCTTGTCTGCCGCGGTGAAACTCGAGGTAGGCCATCTAGTTATTTTAGCCGGGCCGGCTAAAATAATTGGTCATGCTTTTTACAGCGCCACGGCTTCCACAGATGAAATGTTTTAATGTATTTATTGTCAAAGCATTTAATGTATTCATTGCTATCGGGATGTTAAGAGCATTCCATGGAATATAACAAAAAGTGTTTCTGAAATGAATGACCTACCCCACCTTTAAGTCATATATATTTTTAGAGCTTAAAACAGGCTCTTCTTGTGTTATACCTTCTATGAAGAGGCTTTTGTAGCTTTTGATCACCAGAGGGCGCCAGATAACATGTAATGCCAGACTGTCCCAAGTAACCGTTCCCAACATCTTTAAGTCAATTATGAGTTGTCTGATTACATGGTGGGGGACATTTGTACTCTTCATTCATTCATGATTTCATGTTTCTATCAACAAAGGCATTGAGGTAGTTTTTTTTACACAAGCCAACAGGGAGAATTAGTTCAACGAGTTTATATACAGTCTGCAGGCCTGGTTCAAAGTGAAAGGTTGACGTAGTTCTCAGAAATTACCAGAAAATAAAATTATATGTCAGGGTCTTGTTTTTATTCTTCCCAAATGATCTTGCGGAAGGACACCACAATCTTACATATAGGGTTACTGCCCGGGCGCGAGCTGTATCCTTGCGCCCTCACAGTATCGCAGCGCAGGTGTCGAGTTTTTATATTAACGGTCACTGTCGACAAAATAAGTCAAAAATAAATACATTTTATTAACTAGTCGCAACATTTCACACAACCTTTCTAAAGCGAGAACACTAAGCTAAGTTGCATTTAGTGTTTGTGTCGGAAAACGCAGCATGCTAGGTGAAGTTGTTCCTTCCACAGTCAACCCCAAGGTAGGCTACTCTCACATACGTTTTATGAAGAAAATGCGATAAACTTGAGCAACTTTATGCCTTTCTTATTAAAGGACCCTTAATTCTCCTACAGTTAATGTATTTCCCTGTCGTTCAAAGTGTAAAAAAGGCTCTGAATATTTTACATGGCTAGCACGAGAACCAGCAGGCCTCTGTTTTACACATCTTACATGTAGTTTAGAAGGTTTATTTACGAACGCGTGACGTACAGCTTCTTGCTTTATATATCTGATACAATTACTCAACTTATTTCTCACAGCAAATATTTGTTCCTTGTCAATAGAAAAAAAAAAGCCCAGGTCTAACTTATAACATTAACGAGGGCTCAGTTCCATTTAGGTTTAACAGCAAGACATATTAGTTACACCTGAGCATGTGAGGAGATGCTCAGTGTGTTGATGTCATGGCAACATCCAAGTAAAAGTGAAAACCCTATTTGAATTGAACAAATAATGGCAGTGTTGTCTGATTGGGGAATGCTGCCACATATTGTTGTGATTTAAGTTTTTTTCAGTTTTAGTATAAGTTTTTTTTGCTTAAGCAAAAGTGCTCTGGTGGATGCCATATAGGGTTTTTGTTAGGAAAAAGGAAAACTATGATTTACATCTTACATGAGCAGTCCAAATGTGCAGGAATGATACACAGAATCAAAACTACATTTTCAATTCTTATTGTTAACCTACCTAAACCAACCAGTCACTACCAGCTACCCAAGGCTGAATGCATACACATAAGGAATTATAGATGCTAAAAAAACAAATGTTATGCATGGCAGATAATTAAGCATATAAATAATTGATCATAGTTGTGTGCTTCATGACTAATACACAGCGTCATGATAATAAAACACATACAATGATTCCATGGTTGCACTCGATGCATTATAGCATCTGTTTATTTAGGTCCATGTAGTATAATCCTGCTGCACCACCTGCATCCTACAGTTTACCCAATTGTCACAGCTGGAGCTGAGAATGCGCAGCAGTCTATCAATAATATCTGCTGGAGACTGGATCGCGTGCAACCTCTCCTAACCTCACCTAACCTCACCATCCATCTGCTAACCGTTTCTAAAGCACACTGACCTGTGCTTGAACTAATGTATGCAAGAGTATTAAGCCAGAGCACGATTCATATCTATAATCTATCCCATGATTAGCTGCACTATATGGAGGCATGTGTCGGCCGCCATATTATGTAAGTCAAGCTAGGAAGCCAAAGTAGTTATTGACCCCATACACTGGTCACATACAGTATTCTCAGAGCAGGTTTTATGATGATGTTGAGTTTAATACAAGTCTGCACTAGGTAGAGAAAATTCTTATGAGACGATGTATCAGTGAACCGATGTCCAACACGTATAATGTGGGATGCACCCATAACTGTTGGACACTTGATTAGTGTAATGAAAGTATCCTGCTGTAAGTCACAATGTTCTTGTACATAAACTAGATGTTAATGAACTGAAAGGTTAATCCTGTCATTCATTGTAAAGCTCCGTTAAGCCGGTTTGAAAGCCAGCAATAACCCTTGTGCCTTACTTTAAAAAAAAGGTGCTCTGGTCATTAGAGGAAAGAAATGTCTTTGTCAACAAGCTGACATATAATTAAATATT